CCAAATCGAGCTTCGTGGATTCCTGCTGTCTGGAGTCATCGGGAGGCGGCGGAGTTTGCGCCGGAGAAGACGGTGGTGGAGTTGCAGAAGCAGAATCTTCAACCATTTCGTAATTTTTTTTTTGAGAGCGTGGAAGAATCGGACAGAGTGAGGTCGCAGCGATTTTTCAGGTAGAGGGAGAGAAGATGGTCAAAAAGAACGACAAAGGGACTCAACGGACAGGTATCCAATGTCTCTCTCTCTCTCCACCAAAGTTAATGACTGCTTTTCCCCATTGTGTTTTGCCTTTTCCACTTTATTTCCTTTTCTTATTTATCCAAAAGCATATCCTAATGATGAACTGAATGTCTATAAAAACATTATATGATCATTTCTTCACAAAACTGTATAAATTTCGTGCCAAACAATATTATTATTTTGTATATACACATAAATACATTTATATATATTATTTATATTATAAATAGGTAATTCTTTTTCAGATTGTTTGATGTCATTGTAAACATTATGACGTGTTTGTCTTTTCCCTTTGTTATTGGATACTAATTTCCCAAACCTTTAAAGAATATCTCATTTTTTCTCTAATTGTATCGTATTTAAATATTTTTTCACTAACTGATCTTGGGATGTGCGCCACCTTAGATAAAATTAAAATATATTTTTAAAAAGTGTAAATTTTAAATAAAAAGAATGGATTAATAATAATAATAATAATAATAACGTATACTGTTACTGTTTCTCTTTTTCTTTTGACTGTCATTACTCATTATGTTTCCTTTCTTCGTCTTTTTTTGGTAACACTGACTTAAAAATATAGTAAGAGAGATAATTTTATATATGTACAAAATTTAATTAATAAAATTTGAAATTATTTTGAATAAAAAATTAATTAATCAGACCCAGAATTATATATATACTAATGATTAGTTTATTTAGGAGTCTCGCTTTCTGCACGTGCACACTTCGTTGTCTTCAATATCATTTCCCCATGGCTTTGCTCCTTTAATCATCGCCACTAATTCTGTTTAAGGCTTCGACTAATCATATTCATTGCGGTCGTGTAAAGACATATAATGTTGGCCTAAGCATTTTAAAATTTAGCTGGGAATCTTTATGGAAGAATGTTATACACGCTTACATATACATAGACCTAACACTAAGGCCCATTGTTCAGGCCCAAGAGATAGGCCCATTTCAGGCCCAATAAGCAATGGTCATTCGTTATTAACAAGGCAAAGCAACTTCTCATGTAACCAATTCCTCATGACGGCGAACGCCTCCTCCGCATCTCTGTCATCCTCCGGCGTCTCCGGCCGGTGAACGAAGCCGTGGCCTCTTCCTTCGAACACCACGGTTTTTGACCCTTTCCCGATCTTCCTCTCCATCTCGTACAAACCCTCTACTTCACAAAGCGGGTCTCTGTCTCCGGTAACGAACAAGACAGGTACTTTAACGTTTTCGGCCGCCGCCAAGTCCATCCTGGTCCCGTAGAACGAAACGCCGGTGCTGAAAAAAGCGTATTGATCGCTCGCCAAGACATCGACAACGCGACCGCCGCCGAAGCAGAATCCGATCAGTCCGAGCTTGTTGGAGATTCCGGCGGCTGCGAATTCATCAACCATCCATTTTGTGCAAGCTGTTATGTCTTGTTGGATTCTGTTCGGATCTTGCAGCTCTCTCCATTGTTCGAATGTGGATCTTGGTCGGTTCTTGGTCCATGGATCCCCGCAGAACAAGTCCGGGACAAGAACACTGCGAGAGGTAATGTAAGAAAAAAAAGTAAAAACACACACATATATGCGCATATACATATTACTGTTTATATATATATATATATATATATAACTTTTAAGGTTTTTTCAAATTTATGTTTAGATACTGCTAACAATTGACTGAAACAGATGATTAGATGAAATTGTAGGGCAGAACATTGAGTCCAAATTTCGGGTATCCACTTCATAGATACTCAAAATTCGAATATTCGTCCGAGGGGGTACGAGGTTGGATTTGTGGTGGTTTGTGAAATCGAACCGCGGCTTTGAGTTCAGGTTTCATCGGCCAATTATCCGCACCAGTAAGTAACTTGAGCCGAGGGAGAGAAGGCGAGGAGATGGCAACTTTGCAAGAGGGGAATTCCGAACGGGCGAAGGGGTGAGGAGGCGACCTTTGGGCCACGCCTTCGTCGAGAATACGTCCTTCATTGCTTGCCATATCTCACCATATCACCTCATTCCCCTTGCCTCGTCGGGTACTTCACCCTCTCACCTTGCCGGCCGAATACCCCGTGAGTATTGCCATATCCCGTGGGTATCCGAAACTTGAATACCCAACTCTCGTGAGATCGGAATCGGGTGTTCTAACCGAAAAACCTGAAATGGCAAGACCGTCGGGTACCCGAGAGACGAGCATCCTTCCTAGATGAAAGGATTTAAGAGCTTTGTTAAATGTAAATAGAACGTACTTGTAGCCGTTGCAGGCGATGCGATAAGCGAAGTCACGAGTGGAAGAATCTTGGAAGCCGAAGATATCAGACAAAAGAAGCAAACCAGTTCTGTTGTTGTTCTTGACGGCTCTCAACAAGTAAGCCTCGACGCCGTCTATCGATAGCTCCACTCCGTTAACGAGTTCGCACGCCTCTTCCTCTACTTCCGCGTCTACGTTAACGGCGCCGTCAGAGACGTGAAAGGCAGACTTCTTCATGGAAGAGCTCGCAACATGTTTCATCTGTAACACCGAGGGTGAAAATGGATCGTCATTGTCAAGTTTGTTGATTCAAATAATAATGTTTACTGTAAAATTATGTGGATGAACATTGGCGTTTTAAAAACCAATTTAACCAAATTTAAATCGAATATGAAAATAATCCAAAAAAGGCCGAATGATTTTACAGAGATTTCTTTAAAAACCCAAGAAAAAAAAAGGGTATAATCGGAAACAGAAGCCGGAAAAATTAGAAGAAGAAACCGACTTCTTGCGAATTCAGTTGCTATGATTCAGGGGAAAAGAAGGGGTAAAGATGACGAAATTATGAAACGTACAGGAGATCGGAGTGGCGTCGCATGCGGAGGAAGAAGACGGCGGTTGTGAAGGCTCCGGCGGCTGAGTAACGGCGGCGGAGCGGAGGAGACAGCTTCAGTGACGGCGGAGGAAAGAGACGGCAGCGACGCAGCCATTCTTCCGTCTTTGCAAGAGAGAGAAACCAAAACTCTGTTTGGAACTTGGGTTAGAGATATTTTTGTCGTGAAAAATATCCAAACCGTAAGAGTCTGAGTCACACAACTTAAATCAAAGATTAACTTATCTTTACAAAAAAATATTCTTCATCTCCAACAAAATTTTATATTACTTTTAACATTTGCATTACTTTGAAGCAGTGTCACATAATACATTCAAGTGTATATATATATTATCATAATCCCAAGATCAATTGAGTTTTAATAATCCATTCAATTTCAAAATAGGTCAAAAAACCCATATATATATATAACTAGTGACTTAGTGAGCGTGTCCGAAAAATAGGAACTAGAGTTTCGTTATAAAAAAATAACATATTTAAAAATGATTTTGTTAAACAACCCAATATTAACTTAATCATTATCGAACTATTTTTTTAAAAAATCATTCGGAATCTAATATTGCATAATAACAATCAATAAATTCGCTTATTATATATATATATATATATATATATTATGCTTTCCTTTTGGGGGATCAGTGCACATTTTACATTCCCACAAAAAAAAAAATTATTTAAAAGAAAGAATTGATAGGGGATGATGGTACATGAAGTGTGTCCTGACTCCTGATTCTGAAGGCTTGGGTTTAGGGCTTTATACCCAAAGATTGGATAGCGAGCTTGGCCGCAACTGAAGATATGTTCTCCTTTATCAGTTCCATTGAAAGTTCAATCCTTTTCACTGTATCCTTCATCCCCATCGCTCTTATCTTCTCCTCTCGCAGCCTCGTTACTTCCGATTCAGTCGATCCTGCAAACGAAAACAGAACCCGAATCAGAATGGCGACAGAGTTACCAGTTTTTGATTTTGAAACAAAGAAAGAGAGAGGAGAAATACCCGAAACGGGTTGAAGTGCTGCGAAGGAAACACGTTCTGCAGTAGATGGGAAGAACGCTTCGTCGCATTCTAATGGCGTTTCGGTTTCAGCCCAGTTCAGAGAATTGTATATACGAGTTTGTAGCGGCGCTTCTTTCGGAGCCTGTTGAAACAAAGGAGATGAATGAACAACAAAACTTCGAAGAACAAATCCCGTTAAAATAGATTCCCTTGCTACATCTGTTACAGCGAAGTTAAACCGTCAAGATTCCGAGAAAATGATGCGGAAACTAGTCTCGAACCTTGAGTTTGATCTCCAAGCTGTTTAGGTTTCTGATAGATTCCTTCAGCTTAGCAACTTTAGAGTTCAGTTCATCGCTCTCGAGAACCAGATAGTCTCGCATTGGGTTGACCTCCCCGGACAAATAAGGATCTGCCTGATATCATAATCCCATTTTTCAACAACCGAATTTAACGTGGATGCGAAGTCGGATAAAGCACGATGAATTGGGAAATTATGGAGAGATCATATGATTCTAGAGTTTATATGAATTATGTTTCTAATAGATTCAAGAATCATAATAGAAGGAAACATTAAACCCGAGATTTCTCAACCTTTCACTTACTTCCGAAACTGAAAACCTGGATATCTTGACACGACCGACGCCTCTTATACAGACAAGTGCACCGACGTCTAATCTCTCAACCTGCAATGGCTTCAAAACTCAAAAGACATCGAACAAGGAACAGTCTTGACTCTTGACTGCTAAGAACAGTCAGAATTAGGGGGGGGGGGGTGTCATGGGGAAAGCTTTACACTTTCTATGACGACCAAACAGCCGAATCTGGCAGCAAAAGATGCCTCGGTTGCTGTTTGACTTATCGAAACGGGATCCAAAACGAAATGCACGAACAGATTGTTCTTCCTCTGTAATGACTGCAACGACAAGTTACAAACAATAGATGTTGATATGATGATATGATAGAGCAAATGGTAGAAATGACAGTCCAAACCTTTAAGGAACAGTTGATATATTATCAATTATCTGAAACGACAACCATGCAATCCAGAAGATACTTCGTATCAAACATAAAATTATACGTATAAGCTCCTACAGGTACATCAACATCAACTAAGTGCATGAAATCAAAAGGAGAAAACAAAGGCTGAAGATTTTGCAATTTGAATCACGATTGTACCTCTTCAAGTAAAGCCAAGTACCTTGCTTCATACAGATGCAGCGTTTTAAGGCAGAATTTGGGGGGGGGGGGTTGTCATGGGGAAAGCTTTACACTTTCTATGACGACCAAACAGCCGAATCTGGCAGCAAAAGATGCCTCGGTTGCTGTTTGACTTATCGAAACGGGATCCAAAACGAAATGCACGAACAGATTGTTCTTCCTCTGTAATGACTGCAACGACAAGTTACAAACAATAGATGTTGATATGATGATATGATAGAGCAAATGGTAGAAATGACAGTCCAAACCTTTAAGGAACAGTTGATATATTATCAATTATCTGAAACGACAACCATGCAATCCAGAAGATACTTCGTATCAAACATAAAATTATACGTATAAGCTCCTACAGGTACATCAACATCAACTAAGTGCATGAAATCAAAAGGAGAAAACAAAGGCTGAAGATTTTGCAATTTGAATCACGATTGTACCTCTTCAAGTAAAGCCAAGTACCTTGCTTCATACAGATGCAGCGTTTTACTCTCTGTCGGAACAAGAACCTGTTGGAACATAGCTAGAATCATGTGGGAAACAAGGGGTATGAATCCCAGTACAGACCCAAGACCAGAAAAAGAGAAAGATTATACATGCTCACAAACCTAAACATTCCCGTAAGATTCTTTAGCTGTGCTTACCTCGTTCATGTTGAAGGGCAGAAGCGGAAGATCGAGAGAGCTCGCGGCCAAAGTCAAACGTCGTCGTTTAACGGCGCCGGAACCATCAGCTCCGGCGACATTACCGCGAAACTGAAGCTGGTGAGAGGTCGGGAGCCGGAAGACGATCCGACCCGGAACTCCCGAGTTTCGGATTCGGGTTAGGGTTTCGACCGGGTGATCTCTAAACGGCAAATGGGTCGAGAAGATATTTGATCGGAGTACAGTGAAACCCATCGAGAAAAATTTCACCTCTCGCTCGTTTCTGCGCCATAAGCTCAACGAAGATGAACAATGGACACGAACAGGATAGGTGGTCCCCACTTGAGGCCCATCGGTCCTACATAAAATTGGGCCGCTATTAAGGCCCAAATTAATTAATCCCATCTTAAGCATTATTGGGCCTATTGTTTAGGAAGAGGGATCTATTGAAGCGAATCAATTAATCAGTGAAATAGGTACATAAAACCGGAGATTCCGGTTAGGAGGGGACACATTATTCGCTCCCAACACTTATATATGTATGATTATTAATTAATTAATTAATTACATATGACAGAAGCTATGTCTATGTCCGAAATCGTTAATATACTAAAGTTTTTACGCGTCACATACTTACAAACGCACCATCTTTTCGTACGGACAACAAATAACCAACCATACCTTAGTGTAGTGTCTTCTATACAGAGTCCTTCAGTTCGGCGTCTTGTTCTTCTCCTTCATCAGTTCTTCGTACCAAGATCCATGGACGCCACGTGTCACTGTCGCCACGACAGCCAGAGAGTCTGCAACTTCAATCACCTTGTCCGAGAGATGGGTCACTCCGATTCGTCGGAGCGTTACTTCCACCGCCTTCTTCCTCGTTGGGTTATCTCCAGATAGAACGGCGGCTCTTATGGCTGTGTGTACGGTCTGAGCCACTCGTGAGAATATAGGGTCTCTGGCTTGTAAGCTTCTCACCAGCATGCTTGCCACTACTCGCTTCCTCGCCTCGAGCTTCTCTGCATCATCATCGTCACAGGGTTTGGTTCCATCGAGAAAATGGCAGACTGTTTCAGTGATTTCTGCGAGACCCGCATCAGGTTTGGTGTCTAACATCTGATAAAACCGATGAACGCATCGGGATACAACGATTTCCATGTCTCCCGGGTTAGTGACCGAGTTCTCGCTTACGAGGGTTTGCTGAAGAATCAAAACGCTGCAAGAACGAAACAAAGGGCATATACAAGGGAATTATATAGCATTGCATCGCCGTGTATAAAGGGATTTTGCAGAGAGCGAAAGATAAGAAAATTGTACCGACCTGATCGAGACGACAATAATTTTCTGGATATGGGACTGAATAGCTCTCAGCCTGGAGAGATTGAGTTGCAGTGTCTCAGGGAGAGTTTCTAAAGTCAGTCCACTTATTTCCCTCACTAACTTCACGAGACCGAGCCTAATGAGAAGATCCACAGTTTCTCCCTTGCACTCCGACAGTTCGATTCCTGAAAAAAATCACCCGTAAAACCACTATTGCTAGATCAATACCTTATCATTACACTTCGACCAAATACGGGATTATCTTGGAGTTTATAAGCTAAAGGGTGGCTTCTACCTATGGTTTGGTGGCAGTCTGTTAGTATAAGTAGGGTTCAATCACAGTCCAAAGTTAACAAATTTTGCCCGAGAAATAGATTAACATTAAACCTGAGAATGCAGATGGTATCGGGGAGTTGACCCGAGATCCAGCAGAGAGGCTGCTCCCAGTCCGCATAGTGGTGGGAGGGAGGCCCTGGGAGCGGGAAGATCCGGGATGGCTGCTTTCAAGAGCAGAAAGAAAATCAGTGTGCTCTTTCCACTCGTTCTCCGCCTCTCCTCGTAGAGATATCAGCCAATTCTTTGTCAAGGGAAGGGAAGAGGAAGCTTGATCTGGAGAACCATGCCAATTGGAGAATGCCTTTTTCAGATATTCCAGACCAGCTGGTCCCTTTAGAAGTGGCTCCAAGGTTTTCAGACGAGCTTTGCTTATATCCTTCTTCAAGACCTGGTGGATAAAAGGAAAACAACCATAGAGTTGGATTCAGAGACCATAATTATGATCAGAGAGACGAGAGAGAGAGAGAAATGTAACTTGTAAGTACCTGAATCCGTTGCAGAACAAAGCGTAAGCCCTTAACCACTAAGACTGCGAATGAAGAACTCGACTGGCTTTTAGACTCGGCCATTTCTCTTAGTTCTTTCATTAATTTACCGTGGGTGGTTCTGATCTCTTCCTCATCCACTGGAGCAGAAAGTTTCCGCAAAGTGTCAAGGGCAAACTCCAGAATATTCCCGAGATAATCCACGTTGACGTTTCCCGAACCCAGCAACTGAATCATGTCAAGAAGAAAGAGAATTAGAGTAAAGCATTTCAGTTTTACCAGCAACTAAGACATGGCATCAGTGTATCATCAGACCTGTGAGAGGACATTGGTATCAATAGTTTGAACAACCTCTTGTCTCAAATCCTTAGGAGATATCTCACAAAGTTCATCTCTGACCTCTTTCATAAGTTTAAGAACCCAACTAAAATCAGGCTGAGCCTGTTTCAAAGAATCCATAACACTGTCCCAGAAAGCCTTTTCCATTGTCTCCTTAACTTTTACCTGAAGCACAGAAAAGCGAAGAAGGGAGAGAAGAGCTGAATAAATCACAATATCAAAGCTAGCATATATCATAGACTTGTAGAAAAAGAATGTTTAAGAACCTGAATATCACTCATATCCTCCTTGTTAGGGTTTAAGCTATCAACGATACTGCTGCTATTGTCATGGATGATTTCATTTACAATATGTTCGTTCTCACTACCCAATGCTGCATCAAAGCTATTAGCCGCCCTGTCTGGATTGGAACCACCTTCATTGCCTGTGTTGGTAAAGTTCTGTTAGATAGAGGAGTTGCCAATAGAATCTGACTTTAACAAGATTTTTTTTACCCGAGTTAAGAGATGAAGAGCCAGGCGAAAATGAGGATGAGGCCAATGATTCTCTTGGTCCATTAGTTTTAGCATTTTCAGATTTCGGAGAAGATGGGTTCGTGCCAATAACAGGATTGATGTCCCGCCCAGTGAGCTTGTGTTCATCACCGATCTAACAAGAAGATGTGAAATCTTAACATTTCTATAGGTATGGTGCAAAAACAGATAACTAATGGAGACATCAAAGGACAGGAAATGGTAATAATACCTGCTTCTGGGTTGCATCCATATCACGGTCCATAACATTCTCCCTGGCTTTTGGAGAAAGGCCGGGTTTCTTCACAATAGGCTGCTCTGGTTCGCGAGTTCTGGCTAAATCCTCCTCTAAAAGCTTAGCATCATGAACTTTCCAAACTACAAATCTACGCAGGTAGGAGCACCATGCTTCATCAAAAGCTCCTAGCTGAGATCTAAAATTCTTTGGACAAGGAGCAACCGAAGATGTGCTGTCCTGTCGGATAGTTGCAGGTCTGTCCAATATAGTCTTCATCAACAACTCAAACTCCCGAATAAGATCAGCTGCAGATTCAGCTAACACAATCTCGTTCTCACCTCTTCCCCTGAAAACTGCATCTGGGTGTCGCCTGATCATGTAAGCACATAGAAGAACTCTTGCCGGGTATCTCACAATCTTCTTAGGTTTTTGAGATCCTTTGTTCCTGGGCTTGACCGATGTTTGCTGACTTTTACTCACGGCATTGGGTGAGTTCCCTCTTGAAGTCGGGGAAGCAAAGTGCTTAAGAAGGTTATTGATGTTTTCCATGGATGATCCCTGTGAAAGAGTAAAACGCATTTCCAAGCGCTCAAGCAATGCTCTCATTGTCCGGATTACTTCAATTGAGTTGAGTTGAAGAGCAAGCAACTCAAATGGCATTGCTTCAACAGTTTTTTCATCAATTCCCAGGCTGCGATAAGATCTGGCCAACATGAGGGTAGATTTCTTGTATTTTGTAAATCTTCTCCAGCATCTGAAATCGAAACCGGTTCTCATTAAAACAAAACCTAGACAAGAAACTCGAGACAATACTCTGGACAACCAGATTGTACCTTTCCACCATTCTAGCAAGACGCTCCTGTTTCTTCAGCAAGATCTTTGACGGCTGATGCAGACAGCTAGCAAGTCCTCTCCTTTGCCTCAAATATTGAGCCCTTAGCTTATTGGCCTAAAACATTATAGAACATCAATTCCAATTGCCATGAAAATTCCACAAAAAACTCGAAGACAAGACGATGGGTTTCATGGAAGAAACTAATACCACCTAAAAGAAAAACCAAGCATACCTTCTGAAGTCGATCTTCAAGACGATCTTTCATCTTCCTCCGTTCCATTTCCCTTTGATTGAGAATGGAATCAGCAATGGCACACACTCGGTATAGTCCAACCGCTTCAAGATATCCCAACCGGTTTCTCCTTTCTGCCTCCAGCAATCCCAACCTCTTCCTCTCAGCAGCTACTCTTTTCTGATGGATAGCTGCCCGTACACGCTCCTTGTACCTGCTCTCCTTGATCGCTTTCTGCATCAAGCTCTGAGCCACACGTTGTCTCCTCGCTGCCCTTTGCTGGGCAACGGCTTTCAGACGAAGCATCCTATTCCTAGCCGCCTTTTGGACACGTGCTTCGACCCTTGTCTCGAGCTCGTCACGCTCCTTCTTGAAACGTTGCTCAAGTTCCATTTTAGCGGCTTGCCTTATCTCGTCCAGCTTAGCCAGACGAGCCAACTCTTTCTCGAGAATGCTTAACCTGTAAAACCCAAGAAATTAGCATTCGTATTCCATAAAACAACTTTGATTCCGACAAAATCTGGGGATTCACATGATTGAGACAGCAAAAAAAAAACAAAAAATCTCACCTTTTCTGCTCAGCAGCACTAAGCTTGGCTTCGAGTCGCTGACTGAGATCCTCCACTGGTGCCCTCGTCGGGCTTTTCGTCTTAGGCCGAGCCTTACTTGAGAGTGACTCGTAGTATTGCTGCAAAATCAGGGTCGGCAAAAATTCAAAATTCGATTCACCAACCATAAAAAAACACACAAAAAAAAAACATTACGGACTTCCCATATTTGATCGATCGTTCCCGTCAAATCCGATCAAATACAGAAACCCATTTCGGGATTAAGTAATAAATTAAACAAGGTGACCGAGTCCGTTCCACTCCACATACACATCACCAGAATAAATAATCAAAAGAGCATGATCAATCGTAATCTATATATGTATATACACATAAACACGTTAAAATATGAAAAACCCACGCCTACCTGGCGCCGGAGATCAGCATCTCGGAGTTTCGCATCGATGTCCTTCGCGGAGACGGAGCTCTTCGGCTCGAGGAGACGGCGACGTAGACGCCGGGGAAGAGTCTTAGGCGAAGAATTAACCGACGCGTCCTCCTCGTACGCCGGAAAACTCAGGACGATTCCACCTCCCAATCGCTCCGCTTCAGCCATTGATTTCCACAAAAGGAGAATCGGTAGGCGATCGCAAACCACGATGATTGTTCACAGAAAACGTAAATATTCACCAAAAAGGGAGAAAAAAAAAATTATAGAAGGGGGAAGAAGAGCCACGAATACTGTTCACAATTCGGTGGAATTGTGTCTTTTCTCTTGAGAGCAGACGTGACTCGTGAGGATGCTTTGTGGTAGGTATCTGAAGTTATCGTGTTGAAGATGGCGACAAGGTGCTTTTAGTCCGACACGCAACTTTTGGATAAATTCCCCAAAATGGCCTTCGTCTTCACCCAGGGCTTTCATATCTTTCGCGTGTGGCAGCTAACCGAAACGACGTCGTAGTCATGACTTGGGGATTGGACCTGTCCGGTTTGTGGCCGAAATTGAGCGCGGAAGTAAGACGACGTCGCTTTAGGCTTTTCTGGGTTTTTCATTCCAATCTCCTTGTCTTTTGACTTTTCAGAAATTCTCACCAAATTACGCAATTATTGATGGCTTCATCATCAATTTACCGCAATTTTTGGATATACGTAACTTCAGTAATCAGGATTACGCAATTAGTACATAAGAAACCACCGGTTTACTTAACCGGTTCTGTGATTCTGTCTGTTAACCGAAATTGCCGGTTTGAAGCAGAACATCCAATCTCAAGATGAGTTAATTTGGTAGATATATTGGTTTGTATGTACCCAAAAAACAATGATTACTCGTAAGTAGGATAAACAAATTTTTTACATTTTTTTTTTACCGTAGAATAATGTTCTGATTCAATGACTAAATTAAATTTGGATTTGGTTATTATTTTGTTATAATTTCAAGTATATACAACGAATTGAACCAATGGTAACGGAACGGAACTGGCTTGCGAAACGACGTCTTAATTAGACTGATGGGCTTATTTGGGCCTTCTATAGACCTAATTTGAGCCCATGATGTAAACAACGTCGGCTTACTTCTTGCGCGAGGTTTTTGCCCGGAGGGGGCACGGAGGGAACGAACACTTGGGGAGAAGATGATCGACGGTTCGCCTCTTGCAGCAGATACAGCGGAGGAAGAGTTTCCGGCGGCGGAGGTTGTGTCGACAGAGCCACCGAGGATTCATCGTCTTGATGAGTCGGTGGTCAATCGGATTGCGGCTGGGGAAGTGATCCAACGGCCAATATCGGCGGTGAAGGAGCTGGTGGAGAACAGCCTCGACGCTGATTCCACTTCAATCAGCGTTGTTGTCAAGGAAGGTGGCTTGAAGCTCATTCAAGTTTCCGACGACGGCCATGGCATCAGAGTACGGTTGCTTTCTAGCTCATTTTAGAAATGGCAATTCTCTGTTTGTTTAAGAGGAACAAAAATTTCAATTTATTTGTTTGACACTGGCGACGATTCTACGTTTGTCGTCACTATTGTTTTTAAATTCCTGGATGAGCATTTAGTTTTCTTGTTGTTTGTTTTAGCTTGAAGACTTGCCGATATTGTGCGAGAGACATACGACCTCAAAGCTCTCTAAGTACGAGGACTTGTTCTCACTCAATTCGATGGGTTTTAGAGGAGAGGCATTGGCTAGTATGACCTATGTCGGTCATGTTACAGTAACCACAATCACCAAAGGCCAGTTGCATGGCTACAGGTATCAAACGACGATCATATGATTAACGTAGAATTTTTTTTCTTCCTACTGAAGTGCAGACATGGGGTTAATTTGTGTGCAATTGTTGTTTAGGGTATCGTACAGAGATGGTGTAATGGAGCATAAACCAAAGGCGTGTGCTGCTGTCAAAGGAACCCAGATAATGGTGGGTTTTTTTTATTTGTTTTAAGCCGTATCTTGGAATTTGTTCTTGCCAGTTTCTGATTTCTGCACGTTTAGGTGGAGAATTTGTTCTACAATATGATTGCTAGAAGAAAGACGCTTCAAAATTCTGCTGATGATTATGCCAAAATAGTAGACTTGCTGAGTCGGTTTGCCATTCATCACAAGAATGTGAGCTTTTCTTGTCGAAAGGTGAGCTTCCTTGCAATCTAAACTTGTCTACATTTTAAAAGAGCTAACTTTGAGACGGATGAGCTTATAACTTAGTGACGCTGTCGCACCAGAATGGAGCTGTCAGGGCCGATGTCCACTCAGTGGCAGCGTCTTCGAGGCTGGACACTATCAGATCTGTTTATGGGGTATCGGTTGCAAAGAACTTGATGGAAGTTGAAATTTCCTGCTCAGATGCCTCTGGTTGTGTTTTTGAAATGGAGGGTTATGTCTCAAATTTGAACTATATTGCTAAGAAGACCACATTGGTGCTTTTCATCAACGGTGAGGACTTTCTCTGGCTCCAGAAAATAAAGAGCTGTGTCTGATTAGCACTGGATTACATAATGCGATGTTTAGTTTTCCATTTTTTTTGTCTATGACAGATAGATTGGTTGAATGCTCTTCCCTGAAGAGAGCTATCGAAATTGTTTATGCTGCAACATTACCAAAAGCATCAAAACCTTTTGTATATATGTCAATCAAGTTGCCATATGAGCATGTTGATATCAATATTCATCCGACAAAGAAAGAGGTACTGGTTTTTGTAGTTTTATCTAGTATCAGGCCCAATAGGTGGTCTGGATTGATGCATTATGCACACAATCATTACTTCTTCAGGTTCTGGAAATGTACTTTTTCTTGTTTACCCTGCGAGTAATTGGAAGCTGTTGTCCTGTGTGCAGGTAAGCCTTTTAAACCAGGAAGTCATAATTGAGAAGATACAGTCAGAGATTGAATCAAAACTGAGGAACACAAATGACTCTAGGACATTTCAAGAGCAGGTATGCTTGTAAAAAAACCTGATGAATTATTTGTCCTCAAAGTAATAATCGCTATATATTAACCATACCTGCTCCTCCATATTTCTTATGCAACAGAAGGCAGAACTCATTCAATCTACTCTAATAGCCACACCAAGCGATCTGCCTGTTTCTCCTTTGCCATCTGGTACTGATTCTCCTACAAGGTCAAATGACATTTTATGTCCAAAGGCATTTCTGATGCATTCTTTTTCATTTATTTATATGCTTCATCAAACATTTTATGTTCTCCTTGATTAGGACAAAAATTGCAGAAGGTTCCTGTGCAGAAGAAAATGGTCAGAATAGATTCGTCAGACCCAGCTGGAAGGCTGCATGCTTATCTGCAACCCATGTCCCAGAGTCAATCTGAGAAGGTTTCTCGCTTGAATGTGGTTAGGTAAGATCTCACAAAATGCGAAGACTGTAGTGCTATTTGGAAAACGAATTTGTATCCCGTGTTTGTTTTTTTTACCTTTCATTATATTCACAGTTGATTTATTATTCTTTTCTTCTTCTTTTTTCCATGAAACTACTGTTTTGTATCGACTTCTGATGCAGATATGCTTAATTGTGTCCTCTTATTATCACTGGCCTTTCAGGTCTTCTGTGAGGCAAAGAAGGAACCCAAAGGAAACTGCCGATCTTTCCAGTGTCCAGCAGCTGATTGCAGAGATTGATAGCAGCTGCCATTCAGGTAGCTTCTTGGTTAAATTTCCAAACAGAGTCCTACTTGAACTGGTCAGGGAAACTCTTTTTCTCTGAAATATGATTTATTTTAGGTCTGCTGGACATTGTAAAGAACAGCACATATGTTGGAATGGCAGATGATATTTTTGCCCTAGTTCAGTATAATACTCATCTATATCTAGCAAATGTGGTGAACCTCAGGTAACTTATTACACTTGAGGGTTTAATGTTCTGTGTGGGAGTTGTTTGACTTGTTTCAGCTCTACTCCTTCCGAGAAACCTCAGACTGTTATATCATTTTTACTTGAATTTGCAGTAAAGAGCTCATGTATCAACAAACTATTCGCCGCTTTGCTCATTTTAATGGAATTCAGCTTAGTGATCCAGCGCCTCTGTCCGAGTTGATATTATTGGCTCTGAAAGAAGAAGATTTGGATCCAGGAAACGATGAGGAAGATGATCTGAAAAAGAAGATTGCTGAAGTATGGTCACCTTTTTTTGCTCGTTCTACATTTTCTGTTAACTATTGTCTTCTATTCAGTAAGGATCACTGAATGCCTTTGCTCTTGGGTTTTTGTCAGCTGTCTCTCACTTGACTTGTTTCCTCAAATGCCATTTTCTCCACAGATGAATACAGAACTCCTCAAGGAAAAATCAGAAATGTTAGAGGAGTATTTCGGCATTAACATAGATTCGGATGGAAATTTGTCACGGATTCCTATTGTACTTGATCAGTATACACCTGACATGGACCGGGTCCCGGAATTTGTACTATGCTTGGGCAATGATGTAAGTTCCAGGAAAGGATTTCGATTTTTTCCTGATAGAAATGTTACTGAGACCAATGGGGCCTAATAGGACATTGGCGTCCGTTGTAGGTCAATTGGGAGGAGGAGAAGGATTGTTTCCAAGGAGTTGCTGCTGCAATTGGGAATTTTTATGCCCTGCATCCTCCTCTTTTGCCAAACCCATCAGGCGATGGTATTCAGTTTTACACGAAGAAGAAAAATAATGGGAGCTCACAAGAAAATCCTAATTCAGGTAAAACTCTCTGGTGTTGATCATGTTTTTTTTTTCTTTCATTTATTTTTATACGTGGGAAGGGCCGACTTGGCTCAGTGGTAAAACCATTTACCGTGGGGTCTGAGATCGTGGGTTCGAATCTGTCTCTCTACATAAAACGTAGGGGTAAGGCGGCCTAGTATATTCCCTTCCCCAACAATCCACTAGATGGAGATACGAATTGGGTTGGTCCTTTTACTTTTATACATGTGAAATGATCTTGTTGTGTTAACAAAGCTTATTAACATTGGACTATCACAGGGGGTGATGTCGAGATGGAGGAGATTCTCGAAGACAACCTTCTTTCAGATGCTGAAAACGCATGGGCTCAACGTGAATGGTCGATCCAACACGTGTTATTTCCGTCGATGAGACTGTTCTTAAAGCCACCGACCTCCATGGCTTCAAACGGGACTTTTGTAAAGGTAGCTTTTCTCCAATCAGCCAGCGTTTCCACATGTTAATGAGTCAAAATCCAAAAACTTCTTTCAGCAAATCAATGGTTACAAATATATATATCACATTCCTTTAATCGTTTTGCAGGTTGCATCCCTCGAGAAACTATACAAGATATTCGAACGATGCTAATTGAACATCATATACTACAAAATACAAGCAACTGCAAAAATAGTCTTGACCACATATGGAATGTCCAATGCACCTGGTAGGCTCCCTTTTTTTTTTTGCTCTAGTTCGGTTTAGTTGTTCTACACTACATCCTTTGTGTATCACTCCACTTACCGGAACTGTAGCCCGGGTGGGCAACTCGACATTTCTGACTTACCTGTTTCAGTTGAAAAAAGAAAAACACAAGTTGCAACCAACAACTGTGAAATTTTCGGCCATCTAGACTTAGACCATCTGGCCTGAGCCCGTGAGCCGTTCGAATGATCGTTCACCAAAATCTCCGTCCTTGCTCTGAGCTGTCTTCTGGAATGGTAAATTGACTGGTCTTGATTGACTCTTCAGTGGTGGAGCCGCAGCCGCATCGACCCTGCTAGGGGAGGTTCGGGCGGAGGCAGCTCCAAAAGAGAAAGAGAAAGACAGAGAAAGCGCCCGTGGCTGCGAGTTATTACGCTTTCCGTACCCGAAAGCACTCCTCTCGCTCCTCACGCTGCCGCTTCTGTACCCGCGCCTCGAGCTCCTCACTTCAGGTAATGCCATCCGGTTCAACCTTATCAATTGTCTCCGGATCTCCTCAGGTAACTGTAGAGTAAATCTGTCTAAATTCTCACCTAGTTGAACCAAGGAATGCCCGGTGGAATGGGACCTCGGAAATATCATGTCTGAGATTCGCCAACCGGATAGCCCTGTGGACCGTGACCGAGGTGGTCTGTTCCGGCCGATCCATGTAATGCTATCTATCAAATGTACGTCGGGGGATTCCAGGTCGCTTCTACCCGTAATACCCGTCTCTGGATCTGTATCCGGGTCCACGAACGGGTACGGAAAGCTCTCACCAGATTTCGGATACAGATTCGCCCGACAGACGGGACATGTCGGGCGAGAAGAGAGCCAGACATCGACGCATTCAGCGTGGAAAACATGACTACAAGGTGGCATAAGACGCAGGTTTTCACTGTCCTGAAACTCGTTCAAACACACTGCGCATTCCTCACCGCCTTTTCCGATCTTAAGGCCCTTAACCTCCGAGTAACGGAAAGCCGGAAACGACTCGATGACCTCAGTGTCGAGTCCACCACGTCCGGCCGTCCTCCTCGGCCACCCTCCTCCGGGCTCGATGTCGTCGGTGGCCGGTGGCGAGAGGCAAAACTTGTAACAGAAGCAGAAAGCAAGCATGCTAATGATCAAAGAGATCGTAAGCATTCCAAGTACAATCGCTGGGATATGAGATCTTGTCTCGTTGTACGGACTGACGTTTCTTGCCTGGCCGACAACGTACGGCAAGAACAGGAGAAGTAACAGCGGCAACAGCAGTGTGGGTAATCCATGACCGTCGGATAAAACGCGTGGTGGCATGATCCAACGGTCGATATTTCTCTCGGCGTCGTCGTGTACAGAGAAAGAGAGGGAAGGTCGTAAAGGTTTGGTGAATAAATGTGAGATGGCGGAGACGACGTTATATGGTAGAATTAACAAGGAGCTGCTCATCACGTTTGATTGTGACATATTATTTAAATTTTTTTTGTCCGAGTAATTAGTTTGCTTGTTCGTCCAACATTTTGACTTTGAAGAAGCCAATGATCATTTAAACTATGGAACAAGTACAACTCCACTCATCACCGATTCGTCCAATCTTAATAATTTATCGTCTATGAATTTGATTGAATTCAATTTGTAACCACAATATTTGATAATTCTTTTTTTTTTCAGGAACTACCGGGAAACTTCTATGTTGATCAAGAACATTTTTCTCTAACTACTGGAAACTCCGAGAACATGAATATACATGATGCATATATCTATCTATATATATGTGTGTGTGTGCGCGCTTGCATATCTAATGATTGATTAATGGGTGACTACGCAAACAAGAAAATTTCGATCGATCTTCCAAAAAACGAATCCGAAAGAGAAGAGAAAGAGAGAGACAACGCTCTTCGGTTATATTGCCTTACATACGTTGATACATTCCTCGTCCGATTCAACTGAGTGAATGTCCTGTGTGATCTTGCGGATCCCATGGACCGTGACCCGTTTCGAGATCCGCACCCGACTCTAGAAATCAAGAAATCGATACGGAAACATTTAAGTATTAGTCGTCGTAAGTGGAATAACGCAATACTTTCAAGGATCCAAAAATCTTATATCCGAGTTATATCTGTCAGATTTAGGTAATACACCTTTAATATCTGTCAAACATTAAGTGGAATAACGCAATATTAGGGGTGGGTACGGGTCGGATACCCCAATTTTTAGAAAATCCTGTCTCATCTTCATTACCACGGGTTTTACAAAAATATTATCTCAGTCTTGGCTTCATAAAATCCGGGTACTTGTAGCTCGGGTTTAATGAGATTCTCGGTCTTGTACTCGCGGGTACCCGGACCCATACGATTTATAAAATTTTGAACTATAAAATGATAGATATAGAAAATACAAATGAGAGAGGTCAAAGTATAAAGAGAAAAATTCACGATGAAGAGAGATGAGTAAAATTTTGAGAGAGAGATGAATGGTTGATTCGGTTACATAGAATGAGATTTGGAATGATGAAATTTTTGTATAGAAAGGTTTAGAACATAAAAAAATTGAACTAAAGTAAAAGTATTTTAATAAATAATAAGAATAATTTAGACAGAAATATTATATATATAAAGTATATTTTAGATTTTTAATAAATATATCGGGTACCCCTTGTAAAATAATTGAACCCCACTCGGATTCGGGAGTCGAAAACTTAATCTTATTAATACTCGATCTCATCATCGTTAATATTCAGGTACCTTTATTCGGGTATTTGTTAAGTCGGGTACCTTCAAACCTCCGAGTCACGGGTTAAAACGCTCACCCCTACGCAATACTAAATTACAAAAATATTCATTAATCTTTTAAAATAAAATATGGAAATATTTGATTTCTTTTTTGAAGAATGTAAAAATATTTATAACATTTATTTATAAAATTATTCTTAATTTCTTTACGAAATTCAGACTTGAATACCGTTAATCGATCGGATACCGAATCGAATACAAATTCGAATACTATAATTATTATTTATTCGGATCCATGTATAGATTTGGTCACTCTATCGTCTATTTTTTAATTAGATTAAGATAGGAGGATTAATTATGCTCAAATCCATGTGTTTATTATTTAAAATTGATTAATCAATTGGAGGATAATCTTCTAGTTCTCGGTACCTTTCCAGTGCGCTGGGCTTCCCCTGAGAAGGCTTCATTGCTCACAAATTGAAACGAGGAGACAGATCAACCAATAGAATTGTACCACGTGTCATGCCGTACTATGTCAAGATTTCCTTTTAAATTGTAACGGCTAGCCTCTTCGTACCATTTGAATTCCAAATTCTTTTCCTCTCCCCCTTCTCCAAACCCTAGCCCTAGATTTCTTCCCCAACAGTTTCTTCTGTTTCTTCCCGATAAATTTCTCGGTTTGTGGGAAAATATGCAGAAAGGGGTGCAAATGGATCTGCCTCGAGAAGTCGACGAGTATATCAAAGAGTCGATTGATCACTCGTTAGGGCTTCCGATTTCTACGGATACTCTGCAGCAGAAGCTCCGGACGTCCGAAGAATCGCAGCGTCGCCTTCGTGATCAGTATCTTGCCTTGGTTTCCAGGTTGAAAGAGAAAGATCAACTCATCGACCGCGCTAGGGTTCGTTTTCTTTTTCTTTTTCTTTTTGGGAGATTTCTGGGATATATGCATCGCTGAATCTCATATACTTTTGCTTTTTGTAGGCCGAGGCGAGTATAAATGCTCAGGCTTTGAAGAAATTCGTGGACGAGAACCAGAAATTGGCTGCTGAGTGTGGGAATTTGTTGAATCAGTGTAAGAAATGGGAAGGAGAGTGTTTACTTTACCATCAGGATCGCGAGGCACTGATGGATTTTGGGAACGAAGCGGATGAAAGGGCTAGGGAGGCTGAAACTAGGGTTCGCGAGTTGGAGGAGGAAGTGGGGAAAATGACTGAACATCTTCAAATTTATAAGAAACGATACGAGAATAGCGAAGTAAGCAACTTTTTCGTACTCCCTGCGTTCTTTATGGTTGCCCATTGCTGTTAGTTCGCTTGGAAGTGCATCAGTGTGAAGTAAAATCTTCTTCTTTGAGTACTTGGGGTTCGAAAGTTTGATTTGTATATTTTGCTTCGCATCTGGTTTGGCTTAGTCTCTGTGAATTAGCAAACTCGGTGTTGATATGCTATTGTATGTGCAACTGTGCATTGTTGCTTGTCCCATATGTCCGAAACTTGGTCTTTCTTTGCACTAGAAATGGACAATTGGGACATTGAGGGCTGAACTTGGTACTGCTAGATGAGTTTTTCTGGCATTGGCCTTAGAAACTTAGTCCATCTGCTTGTTGAGCCTATGTAAAGCATTTGGAAATCACACGTCTTTTGTGAAGATTGAAATTGCTCATCCTTTCCTGTGTATTCATTGAGAGTTATATTGAATGGTGTTCTCGAAGGTTCTGTTGATACCCTTCTTACGAGTTACGAGTGAAAGCTGAAAGATGTGTATGTTTTCTTTGAAAGGACGACAACTGCCAGGGCGCACGGCCGGAAGAAAATTTCCTTGATTCAGTTTTAGCATCATTGATAAGCAAAGATGAAACAGTTGCAGGACGGCTCTTTCTGGAGGCAAATGTTAAAGAGGAACTCTGTCAAAATTTGTTGAGCATGTGGAACCGGTTAAGTTCTTAAATAACCTTATTTCTTACAGACTTACTGTTACACTTCCATTACACTTGCTCTATCCATTGTGTTAAACCCTACCTATTCTTTGCGACAGTCTGAGGCCATCGACGCAAAAAGTACTGTCATTGATTGCCCAGGCGAAGAAACTCGAGAAGGAAAAAGAATGCCTCATTCTGAACCTCAGCAAAGCCGAGCAAGAGGTAAGATAGAAGACACTGATACTTGAGTTTTGTCCATCAAGCATCAATCGATTCTCAAATAAACTCACCCTTATAACATATATACAGGTTGAACTTGTGAGCAAGCAAAACAGAAAGCTGGACAAGGAGAACCGCAGGTTGTTGAGGCAACAGCAACGAGAATGCAGCCCGCTTTGTTCTGCAGAGAAGAATCCCGGCAGCGCATCTGCCAAGGTGAGACGGGAGATATATTTCAAAACAAAACCGAAAAAAAAAAACCATGAACTCTCTTACCGATTTCATTGCTTTTGAATGTTAATAGTCGAACAAGAGGAAATCGAGTCCGAAGACGATGAGCAGTCCGGTTGAGAAGAAGATCGAGTTCAGCAGCCCAGATGTTGCGGCCCGGAAGCCGCTTTCGCCTGTGTGGCATAATTCTCCTGAATCAAGGATGAACAAGAAGTAACTGTGAGTTACGACATTCTTGTAGTCTTTTTTTCATGTTGTCTTGATGGTGAAATAGAGTTAGGTATATATAATATGTCTCTCTACTCTGATGCTCAAACTTTTGTATCAAAAAATAGACGTGTGAATTGTTTCAACGTATCCCTCAAGGGGCATTGCGAGAATGGAGAATTGCTCGAGTCTCCTCTAATGTTTTCCCATCTGCTTCGTAACGACTGCGTTTTATATTATACGTCAAATCTGAAACGACGTCGTAGTGATGGCTGGAAACTCCCATGAATGTGTGTGCATGTTTTTCTTTTTAAACTGGTGTTTTATTCTTGAATATAAATATAATATTGAAAACTTGTCATAGTCTTCATTCGGTCAAAAGAACGACAGTACCACTCGGTCCCGATTATATAACATTTTTTTTATTTAACTTTGAAAGCCTCTCGGCATGACGACGAGCTTATTTGGCTTCAAGAAGGATTGAAGAGAATGGCGCGACATTATATGTTCCTCCGACTCCGGCTACGCCTTCCGCCACGCAATCGTCCGGCGACTCAAGATTTGTGTCGACCTACAAGAAAATATTGAGAGATAGAGAGAGTCGAGGATTGGAATTTCATTTTCCGAAACACGAAAAAGAGGTTGAAAGCAAAGATAACACTGACCACGCGGTGCCATTTTCTGGCAGGTGGTGGCGGCGGAATCAGGGCCTTGACGAAGTAGTCGTGGGCATTGAAAGCTATGTAGATATCGCTGGAGCCTAAGCGACCGTGAAGCCTGCAAGAGAGTCATAATAAGAGAAACCAAGAACGTCTCTACCATAGTTAGGGATGAATACGTGATCCAAAATTTCGAGTACTCGCCCAACCCGTTAGTCGGATATCCAAAATTTCAGGTATCCGGGCTCCGACGAATATTCGCAGCTCAAGAGAAAAGCGGTTTTGAAAAAAAAAACAAAGAGCAAGATGATGAGGCGAGGTTTGTTGCTCACCCCTCACCTCGCCACTCGACGCTCCCCCCCCCCCCCCCGCC